TTACTGACCGATTGGACAAATTTTCAAATAAACATAAAATTGTTACCACCTTGATAGCAAATTAAAATTTCGCTTCACCGAATTATTATGCAAAATTATTGCCAAACCAGGCAGTAGATTGTTACCAAATTGTTAAAAGTATATCAATAGTCTCAGAAACATATTAATAAAAACCCCCATTTTGTCCCCCTATCATTTAGAGTGTGCACAAAAAATCCGTATGATACGAGTCTGCACGATGGACCAAGTAGAAAATTTGCTCTTTAATTTGACAGATTACAGGCTTCCTCGACTCCTCCTCGTATTAAAATTCATTCCATATCCACTTCAGTGCAGAGAGATATGCTCAAATAATAATAGTAATGAAATTGCTACCAAATGCAACAAAAAATTGTCGACATATTCGCAAAAATTGTTCAAGTTCAATCTTCCTGTAATAATAATTGTAATGATATGCATGCAATTTTGAGTACGAGTAATTTCAAGAAATGCAGTTTTTCGTCGTGACTATTATAATTTTTGTAAACAAAATAAATTGGCAAGTTTCGTCTTGATCAGGGCAAAGGATTTTGCGAGGGAAGAATAAATAGTTGAAATTTTAAAATTTTGGGGGTATTCATCACAAATTCGCATTTTCGCATCGCAAAATAATTTTGCAAAAAAAAATCTGCGAACTAAATACTAGCCTTGGAGATGGCAAGTTTGGATTTTCAAGCCAGAATTTTTTGCGAATTTTTTTGCCAACGCTGCTAACGATGCGAAATCGTAATGAATACCCCCATTGACTTTTTTTGCCAAATATATGAAAAAATTTTATCCATCCATATCTTGCAAAAACTGAACATATTCAGTTGTCTTTCTTCTACCCAAACCATTTCCAAATTCCCAACCTACAATTTCTCAACTATTTCACAAATTCCTTCCCCTGACACATTTCCCTCACAAACAACCTGTCACCAGTTTCAAAAATGTTTCATTATTTGTCGATTGCCAATCTTGTCGTCGTCATCATCAAATATGCGCACGAGGCTCTTAAACAAATTCAAATCTGTGTATCTTAAATCTTAACCAGCTACGTGAAGAAAAAAAAACATGTAAATAACACAAGTCTAAATTTAAATGGCACACTCATTTTCATTTCATTTTATTACGCAATGCCAGACAGACGATGATGTTTTAATGAGTAACAAATAACTTTATTTAATGCGAATCTATGTAGGGAACGTCCATATGCTACGTCATCAGAAAAACGCCGATTTTTATATCAACTATCTTTCCTATCCTTATCATACCTGTTCAAAAATTTAGTTTTCATTCAAAAATCAGTCATCATTTCCGACTGAAGATTTTCATTCACATTTGCTCATTTTCTTTCAAATTCATTTCATTTCACTTCATCGGACTTCATTTTTTACTTCGCCAGGGTGAAAAATGAAATGAGTGAAAAATCCTTTCATTCACAGTCATCCATCTGAAATGCCGGAATTTTTCAATCATTTTCATTCAAATTACAGGAAATTCATTTTATTCACTACCACTCATCATCGTAATCACTCAAATGAGTGAAACTGAACAGGTATGATCCTTACTCATGTTAAGCTTAACACAGATAAGATAAACGACCGAAAACCACCCAACCACCTTTTTGATAACGTAATATATGGACGTTCCTAACGCCCTGCCTGCACATACACGACGAAATGACGGATACATAAATCAAGCCCCTTTCTATTTGCAGTCAAAATTTATATTTAACCATTGCTTACACACGTCGCTTGCTTAACCAGGGAACAAAAGTAAATTAAGTTGTTTGTTAAGCCAACATCACATATTGTAAAGTAATGATTGGTTAAGAATAATTAAAAGAAAACGAAACTCTTTCAAATGAATTGGTTAGCATCAATTCATTATTATGCATTTATTTACTGACAATTTGATGAAGATGAATTTCACTGTGAATAGCATTTCAGTAAGTTTAATTGAGTAAGTGGAAATGGTAAAAGTAATTATTAGGTAAGTATTTAAGTGTGTGGTATTAATTATTATTGTGTAATTAAAAATTCTTGGATTTGTAAACTACAAACTGTAATTGCGATGTGATATGGATTTTAAAGTTGGGAAATTGTATGTCGTATTTACAAATAAATTTCTAGAACCAATACGAGAAATCTTGTAGTTTTTGAAGAAAATTGTGTGTAAACGGTAAAATATTTCGTTTACAGGTTACATGTTTACATGAAACTCAAAAAAATTATGCATGTTTTGGTGAAAATTGTGGAAAATAATTATTTTTAATTATTTGTGTATATAACGAGTTACAATATTGTAAAAACCTGTAATTGTTGTGCTTGTACATGTATACGGTCAAGAGGTTAAAGTTCATGTATAAAATGCAAAATGGGAAAAATGTAATTTTTTGCAAATTCCTGGCAAAATTAATTTCTTCATAAAAATATTTTCATTCTATCCTGCAAAAAACTGAAACATTCTAAACAATTTTACATAAAATTAGCCATTGGGCCAGCAAGTTACACAAATTCGCAATATCTTCCACATACTTTTTGAATTCAATATATTTCAAAGAATTACAGAACGGCATCGGGGAGTTTCAAAATATTTAAAAGAAATTTCAATTATTGAAACTTTCATACGTTTAAAAATAAAATCATATCTAATTACGCAACTGCATCGTAAAATGTGTGCCAAATTTCTTTGAATAACGAATAATAGTCTAAAAATCCAATAAAATTCAAAATGAAGTTCCCGGACGCCATTAAACACTTTATTCTGCTCAATCCAACGCCATTAATTTCCCAGATCATTTTGGCTTCACTTCTCAAATCGGGTATGATAACCTTGTTAATTGTCAAGGATTATAGGTCTGTTGGCCAACTTGACAAATTATGTATGTAAGTAAACCATGTCCATAATTTTTGTCTACTACTATGTCATTGTCCACTTGAAAACGGGATTTAAAAGAAATTGAATATGTATTTCTTTCAGTTTTTGGCACTAGAAAAAAACACGATTGAATTTTTACACAAAATTTTTACATTTTCTTGGATAAACAAAACACCTAGATTTTTCAGTTTCTTAAATGCATACCTTATCTTGAATTAATAATCACCCAAAAAACATTTATCTATGATAAGGGCAAATATAAAACATGCAGGAACACGTATGGCGTGACAAGCTCACGATAAAGAGATGCAAATTACATCAAAAGTTACCCACACACCAGTCAAACTCTCTTTTATCGCTATTTTACTAGTTTAGTCAGAATCGGTCAGAGTCTGAATTGAATACGAAATTTAAATTTTAAAAAATACAATGGAAAGCAGCAATCCAAAGGATGTAAGTTACACACTCGGTTGCATTTTTTAAATCAAGGGAATTTCAAGCCAATAATTTTCCATTCAGGGTGGAATTGTGTCATGTCACACACAGATTAAAGTACATGCATACAAAATCCGTACAAGATTTTCCATAATTTTTTTTATACAAAATTCGTATAAATTTCTAAAGAAAATTTCCCATCTAATTTCCCAAAAAAATGCAATCCAGTATCTCCACGTGGACAATAAAATGGTTAATAAATACACGTGTCTTAAAAAGCAATAAATTTTATGACTTTCGGTAATAAACGTTATTACCACTGACCAGAACTTGGGATGAATTGGATTAACTGACTCGATCCTTATTTACCAATTGGTAACTAATTATTACCATTTTGTACAAAATTTTAAATTTCTACGCAAAATTCATATGTTTCCGTACCAAATTACAACTTTTGTCGCACTATCTCGGTATAAATTTATTACCGCATTATCTAAATACTCTTCATTTCTTTACCTAAACCACAAAATTTTTCAGTACAGTAAAGTGCATTAACTTCATTTTCACGGCATCACAATTCCCTGCACATTTTCATTAGTATTCAGTTCATAAAAGCGCAGCCACAATAATAATCATCATCTAGGTATGTAACAAGAACAAGAAAGAAAAGCCAGCAGAAAACCAAGGCAGACTTGTGACTTGGAAAAGGTGAGATTTTAATTTTAATGGGGCATCATTTACTCCTCACGGGAAGAATAATAAATAAGTCGAAATCATTTGTGCTTTCTTGGCTGGTGTGCAATATGTAACAACAAAAAACCAACATAAAACATGACATGACGAGCAACACGTTATTATAAAAGTTGGGCCGCAGGATGAATAAAAAATTATTTGGATAAAACAAAATCGTGGGACGTGATCAGGAATGAATTAAGAAAAAATATGTATGGTTGGATAGACTTGCTGGATAAATAAATTCGTAGGTTTTGAAAAAAATCTCGTAATTTCCGATATTTATCACTTCTTCGTAATAAAAACTAGATAATTGGATCAATTTATAGTTGTTAGCTATCAAAAATAACAAATTTTAATTCCTTTCATCCTAAAAAATGGTAATAAATAAAATCCTCGAATGTTATAAAATTAGTTAAAAAATTGGTCAATCTTAATCTTGACTGTTAATTTATTATTTTTGCCTTATCTTAATTATGCAACTTTTTCAAGTAATTTTGGAACAAAACTTCACCTACGTTAATTTATAAACTGCAATGCAAATATATTCAAAATCACAAATCGTCGTTGAAGCGAAACTTTGTTCGGAAGCATTTTTTAAAATAAATTGAGACGTTGAGATTGATCAGCAATTAATTAAAGAAAAATTTCACGGGATCCAAAAATATATTTTTTTAACGCATATCAATTTCTTCCAATTTATTTGGTTTGATTTAATAACCCAAATTTCATGTTTCAGTTTTCTTAGTAAAAGTAAAACTTCCATTTGGCTCCAATCACCATTAACCTTTTACATTTACCGATTTTACATTTCTTCAACAATTTTATACAACGACGTTACAGTTTTACACTTTATGACGCATTCTATTTAATCAACTAATAAAACTCGACATACAAATTAAAAGAATACATTTCTTTAAAAAAAAACTGACCTTGAAAATGGACCGGATTCTCACAATTAACGAAATTCAGCCCTTCCCCTTAAACTTGGTAAGTATTTATCCAAACTAGACCAGTTGGTTGGTTGTCTCGTCTTATCCATGCATTCAATAAGATGGAAATTTTCTGATAATATTCCCACTTAAAAAAACTAAACTGTTTCCGGTACTTATTTTTCCTGTGGGAAACTAGGTCCCCAGTTTAGTAGAACACCCTCTGGAATGACTGGATTGGATGATTTTTATCTGTAAAACAAAAAAAATAATGGTTCCTTAACATACATTTTATGCAAATGTATAGTTTATTAGAAGGTAATGACATATTTATTGTTTTTGATTCCTTTAAGGTCACGCCATCTCAAAAAAATTATCAAAACGGAACGGAATCAAAGTCACCAGAATCATGAGCAGCACGACGTTTAACGATGACAAGTAAAATAATGGATGCATTTTTATTCTGGCATCATGACCAGAATGAGAACAAGAAGAATTGAATGGCTGACTAAATATAAATGGGAGGCAAGTCAGTCATTAATTTTTAGAAGGATTTATTAGCCAAAGGTAGGAATGTACTGTGTATAAATAAATTCACGTCAAAAGTTGCAAATTTCAAAATTTTAGTGTTACTTGAAAATTCACGTCGTTATTTCTCAGAAACTTTACAAATTTACAAGTTTAGTTCAGAAACATGAATCTGCTGTAAAACTACAACTTTTTATTGAAATAGAGTAATCAAATATTTTAAAATTTTCCAAATGACGTTTTACAAATATTAACTCAAAATCGGTTGATTTAATCATCAGAATAAAACTTGAACGTTTGTAATCGAGTAAATAGTAAAAATATTTTACAACTTTGAGAACATACATTCATACAGCGACGTTATTTATATGTATAAATTCGAAATAGTTTAGCCATAAAAACTAACATTTAACTGATTCCAAAGCCGTCTGCCGTACATACATCTAATAATAAGCATTTTATTTAACTTTTACAAAATAAATATTTAGCGGATTCCACGTCTAACAATCTGTCAGCTTTTATTTGTGAAACTTCAGAAATCTTTATATGTAAATTCATTTCTATTAAGTTTATTGGGTTACAAAAACCAGCGTGAACTATGTAATATCTCTTCGTTTTATTTAACAGTGGAATTTAGTTTGCAAATTTTTTTCGCCAAATTGCACCAAAATAAATTTGCGAATAAAAATTGTATCCTTTTCAATCCTAATGTTTTCCCATATCTTTTACCAGTAATAAAATTTCCCTCAGTTTTGACGTGAATACACCCATCACAACTTTATAATTGAGATGGGAAATCATTCCATTTTGATGAATGTCAAATAACTCACGATTTCCATCAACTCGAAGACAGAGATAGGAATCGATTACAAAAAATAAAACGTAATCCATCCATCCATCCAACAACCAGTGATTCTGATTTGGATTCAATCTCGATAAAACAATTGGGCCAATTCTTCAACTTTGCGAATATGTACTTATTCAACAGGTCTCATTTTTCTTATAAAAATGTGGATCTTTGATAAAAATGTGTCCATTTTTTGCCAAAATATTTACATACTTTTTCCTTCTGGAACAGCATTCCTGACTTTTTAATCGGTCCACAAATCACTCCAGGTGACTGACCACCTTCAATTTATTTAATATTTAGCTGGGAGCATGTTATTTAATCCAAACCAGCAGAATTTACGCAGAAAAACAACAAACTTATGTATCTACCCCACCCTACAGCAGGTGGTCTGATTTTAACTTTTGCAAAAATAATACGCAAAATTCGCAACAATCTTGATCAAAACTTGAGCAATAAAAATTTTAAGACAAGACAAACTCTTGACTCTGACATGACATGGCATATTCTGCTTAAACTTTGAACAAGAATTTGATTAAGATCACGTATTTATTTATTAAGTTTCATTTTTAGAAACAAAAATTCTTCCTGTCAAAAACGAATCGCTTGACATGAATGAAAATGTATTGTGTTTGTTTTCTAAATTTATGTGAATGGATGGAAGCATAAAAATATGGGTATCGATAAAAATACCGCGTCGTAAATAAAATTGTGGTAAAACCGGTCGGAATTTATGTATAACAATGGGAAATAAAGTGCATTAATTAAATTGAAATATGTATGCGGGTCGTCTTATACATACAAATTTCGCTGCATTGTTTGCTTTTCTTCAAAATTATTATGACGGGATAATTACAGGTTTGGAAATATTTTGAACTTTGTTGTGTAGTATTTACATACGTGCAAAACGTTATTTGAATTTTTGAAATGATCCGATCGGGAATAAAAATTGGATGCGAGTAAATGAAAGTCAGTAATTGATTAACAACTTCGAACTTCGATTAATTATACATTATTTTAATTGTAATTGGATTATTTGAGTTTTTATTTTTGTTATTAATTATCATATGTAAAATTATTTTTTAGTTTTCAAACAAAACCAACATCTATGGAGAAAAAAATATTTGTGTGGTTTACGGAGTGTGGAATTCAGATTTTTCGAGTTGTAGTTAATATATTCATTTTCTCAATATAATATCTGCTTTCATTAACGAGAGTATAAATTGTACCAAAAAAAGTCTAACGGATTCAACAAGTCAATTAAATTCATAAATTATTTTCGTCAAGTATTTAATACCGAATATTCCAATATCCTCTATGAATCGTTACATTTTAGTTATATTTCTACAAAATATTCCCGTTCTTAATTTTTTTAAGATTTAACTACAAATTTAGAACTTCAAATTCGAACGATAAATTTATGACGAAATTTTGCAAATCCACCGTTTCAACAAGTCACCACGTAATTCAGAGTAACCAGGAGAGCTACTAATTTCAATCAATTTGCACCCAATTTATTACCCCAAATTTTACAAGATCGTGATTGACTAAATTGGATTGGCAACATGCACCTCCTTCCGTGTTGCATTTGCATTTGCGAATAATTTTCGCATAATTTTAGACATGCAAAATTACAACCTTCTTTTACGACCTGGTCTCTCCACATATCATACGCTTTTTGACAAGTACGATCGCAATTCATACCTAAGGTCAGTGAATTACAAAAGAAGGAGGGAGTTCAAAAAATATCCTGAAACATAACTTGTAAATATGTATTTATTTATACTCTAAATAATGTGGTAACAAAGTGGTAACGATTTATTACCGAACAATGAGGACTGTAATTTTATTTTAAATTTATCATGTTACGAAATAATTCCAGCGTAGTAGCAAATTCGAAATTTGCTTCGTACAAATACTCACAATATTGTGAAATAGGGTTATCTGATTAATTTTTTCGAAATTTCGAGTTTTTGAAGACTCGAATTTCTGAACATATTTTTTTAAAATTCAAAAAAGTTTGTTATGAGTTTGATATTTGACATATATGACAAATCAATTCTCATAATATTTGTAATGATGCAAGAATTTTCGAAATCCAAGCAAAATTGGATTTTTGATTCTTTTTGGTTACAAATTCTGCGACAATTTGGTTCCTAGATTATTAAGTAGGTACCAATTTGTCGTTAAAATTTGATTTATTATTTTCTACGGAAAGAAAGTGTTGACTATTTTTACGCCCCATATTTATTTTTCCTTTCTAATCACACAAAAGTTGACCGAGCTGGATTGCATTGGACCAAATTATAGTGGAGGAGATGAGATTTAAGAAAAGCTTGCGAAAAAGACGACGTCATTTGCACCTCGATCGTAATGATCAAGTTTTTAAATTAAAAGTTGTGGTTTGATTGGTCAAAGGCAGTGTTTCGGAAGAGAGTAGAAGTGCATGAAATGGGAGATGTGCAAATTTATTATTTATGCACTGACAGGTTTCAAATTCCCTTAAAAAATGGGTGTTGCAGGTTTTATGCAAATTTCGATTTCAATACCGATCTTAATGAAAATTGTGCATTTTACCATATTTCAATTTCAAGTGTGCAAAAATATTTGCAAATTTCCTCCACTGCTGACGATAAGTTTCTGGATTTCATACATTATACCGATCTTTATGAAAGTTATGCACTGTCAACTGTACAGTTTTTCAATTTCGAGTGTGAAAATTTACATATTTGTAAATTTCCTCCACCACTGAGGACAGATTTCATGCATTATGAAAGTCTCGGAAACTTATTTTATGAAATTTTAGATCCTATTTTCAGGCATTCATATTTTATTCCAGGTTTATCATCTTTTCCGTCTATGAAAAAAGAAATTAGTGGCGTTGGCGTCACAGCCAAACCTTATCAACCACTTATCAACATACCTTGTCGAAACCCTGTCAATCTATTTATTCCTCTCGTTCCCTTCCTTCACCTCATGATGACCACCACACCACCATTAGTGCTAAAAGTTCCTAGTAAAACTGAAACGAAACCTTAATGATCTCTTTACCAAAAGGGAAATGGTTTCGCTAAATACTTTCAGTATTATTGGCCCGGTCGGCTTTTTGTGGTTTGGTTTAGTCCATTCTTCACCGATTGTGAGAAAAAATGTGATAATGAGACATGTCATCGTCTCTTCTATTCGCATGATGAGGTGAGACTTTCTCAATTACAATATTGATGGAAAGAAAGTGCCAAACTGTATACAAATTCTACTCTCAGCGACACGATTAATGTGAATATAATGTCCTTTTAGCTTAACGGGGTCGGCATAATTTTGACAATTTTTTTAAAAATTCTTGATACTTTGAAATTTTTAAAAAATTCTCGTTACTTTGAAATTTTTAGAATTGAAATTTAAAAAAATTCTTGTTAGTTTGAAATTTTTAAAAAGTTCTTGCTAATTTGAAATTTAAAAAAATTCCTGTTTCTTTGAAATTAAAAAAATCTTGTTAAATCCTTTGAAATTTTTAAGAAATTCTTGTTACTCTGAAATTTTTAAAAAATTCTTGTTTGAAATTTTTGTGCTAAAAACTTTGACGACACTTCCTGTCTCAAATTTTGGTCGTGTCATTTTGTCAATTTTGGTCATTCTTTTAATTTTTACGGCAAACGTGTACCCCTTAAAATAAATCAAGACCAATAAATTCGGCCTACGCGAAAGTACTAAAATCAAATAATTTTCCACCTGTGACTGCACCCTTTGCGAAACAATTTGCAATTTGGTCACATCCGAAACGAGAACATGGCTTAATTTATCGTGTAATAATTCCATTTCGATTTCGAATCTCAGATTTATTCAGAGCACAATTTGATATTTGATCTGACCTGATTTG